AAGGGGGGGGGGGGTCTGACCAGGTCTGTTAGATTATAGAGTGCACATAGGCACTGTAGTCATATTCTTTGCCTTTTAACTGTAATCCTCTGTAGACACAATGGGCAACTGTTATAACAGCTAGATGGCAGCAGGGCAATAAAAAAAAGGTTGAATACAGTTTCTGTCTGACTGGATAACCATTTCCATAACTTCAAATAGACTATAATATCCATACTTTTTACACTTTTTGCATTTTTGCTTCCAATAATGTTTATGTGCATAGGCAAAGCCCAAAATGGTATTGTAGCAAATCTAGCACAGGTCTGGTGTTTCTGACTGGTGTTCCATTTGTGTGTAAAACAAGTAGAATCATCAGCATTTGGCTCTACAGAGTCACCAAAGTGGCGCTAATTAAAACTTGTCATACGCCTGTTAGACACAGTACTGGATGTGGAAGCGCCTCCAGCGTTGTTGTGACTTTTAGATGCTCTCGTAAAAAGCTGGTTGAGGCAGTCCCAGATATTGGGGTGTTTGTCAACGACTATGCAATGTTGAGTGGAGCTCAAAACAAATATTACACCTAGCTGTTTGTGTGCCCCATTCACCTTAGTACACTGTTCCTACCTGACTCTTGGGGGGAGCTCAGCAAGGATAAGGAACACATGCCAAGTAACTCTTATTGGCCTGTCTGCATTCAAGGCAGAAACCTTAATAAAAGTTTAAATTGCATACATTTGCAAATACATTGCACGCCATGACTAAGGTGCTAATGAACACTTGATTCTACTGTATAAATATATGATTTATACTAATTAAGTAATTATTCACAGTTTTTCTGAAATGTTTGGGTTGTAACATGTTGATTTTAAGTTCACATTGTACATGCAGGAGTCATTCTTTAACAGGTAACAACCTTATGGATTAGATTAACTGAATTTCAGCAATGCATTTCAGTGTATTATATCATGTTATAAATCATATATTCTCTTGCGTATTCCCACCATACAGAGCCCGTCAAAGGTCATCTCGTAGACATCAACGTGACCGAATGCCTGAGTGCAAAGACTGGAAAGACGTGACTTTGGATGGGGATGTAAACAGCATTGAAAGCATAGAGACTTGGACCGAGTTTGTGGAGGGGCGGAATAAGGTATCCAGACAGCCTCGGGGTGATATTCCCTGATTGCATTGCACTTCCTAAAGTCATCCTGGCAGGAACAATCATGTATTATTGGGGAAGTCAATTATCCACAATACAGCAACATGCACTCAATCTATTTCTCAATCAAGGAAATGCCCCAAAAAAATGCCATAGAAGAAAGAAGAAAGACCACAGGGGTAATTTTCCTGGGTTAAAAGTGCAGTTATAATTGAAGCATTACATTTAATCCTTCACAATATGAAACTGCTATTCAAGCAGAACAAGTATTGGATAGTGCACAAACCTATATATGCTAGCAATTCAATTCCAGAAAAAAAATCTAATGTAGCTAGGAAAATATTATTAAAATATAAAAAGACAGCAGTAATAATAAGAAAAAATAATAATTTAATAATAATAACAATAATAATTTTTTAAACTGCAATATGGTTTCAATTAGAAAAATGTGTGAATCCTAGGTAAAGGTTTGTGAATCTTGTGTGAAAACATTTATAAATAGATGCTTTAATTTAGCTTCTAATGTATCTAGGAAAATATCATTAATACAATAAAAAGTAATACTAACACCAAACATAATGATAATAATAATAACAATAATTATCTGCACATATTGTAAATCTATGTAGGTATAAAATATAGTCTATTCTTACTGAAAACACTTAATTTATTCTCCATTGTAGTCAGAGAAATATCAATAGTATATAAAAAGATAATACTAATTCTACTACTAATAATTATTATTTATGTTACTGTTATTATTATTATTAGTATTATGCACATGTTTCAAATATTTGATACTAAATCTAGTCTAGTTTCACTAAAAACATACAGGAACTTATTTATATTATAGAGTGGATATTGTTATCTGTTTTCCGTTTTACTTCGCTCAGCTACACACACTACAGCCCAATATTTTACAGCCCACTTGTAAAATGTGGGCCGCAGTGTGGAGCCTGAGGTAGTTCATGGCAGAGAGACATACAGCAGAGAGAGCTCTGTGATTGGAGGAGTGCTGATCATGGAAAGGTGATTTTGAAGGGTCACGTGACCTGAGTCTGACTCACCTCCCAGCTTTTTTCTCTACTCCTCCCGACATTCATTATTACTGTGCTCTGACAGCTTCTGACTCTCTAACCCAGTGGAGTGCAATGCACGTTTGTAAAGCACACAGCTGTGCTTCAGAAATGTCAATTTATTTTTAATTTTTTTTAAGCGGCAGCAAAATTAACCCTAGTATAAGATTTACATACCCTACTTAAGATTTGTTTTTAAAAATACACTGGTATGTTGCTAAGTCTATGAAAATTCTATTAATATTGATGAGCAGAACAAAATATGTAACAGTATACACTTTGTCGATCTGTTATTGGTTATAAGTAGTAAAAGAACTAAGATTTTTATATGCACATATTATTTTTTTCTTACCTACTATTATTGATACCAAAACATATTATTTCTTTTGTTTGGATAATCCAATGCATTTTTATAACTTTAAAAGGATTTTATTCATTATTTCCCCTGCAAAACTGAGCAACAACTGCTTGGGGTGTGTATGGCTTTGTCTTATTCTAGATCAAAGTTGTTAAATATGTAATTTATTTTAACTAAGCTAATTGTATTATAACAAAGGGTGGTTTTAGTGTGGAGATCCGGCTGGCTTTGGCACATTCTGGAATGGTCTAGGCTCTAGTCATAAATGAAGAGGGTACAAGGGCCATGAGCTAATTTCATTCAGTTGTTATATGGCTGCTTGTGTGCTTGTAATAGGATATCAAGCAAGAGGCACAGGCCAAAACAGGCTTGATAAGTTTTTAGTAATTTTGACACATTTTTACAGCAGTCCTCAAAGGGCAAAATAACATTAAGGCCTATTAAGAGATATATTTTACAAAAGCAGAATAAGAACAATTAGTCCTTGCAGACCCACCTTTCTAACAAAGAATGCCCCTAAAGGTACATCGCAAGCATTAGAATTTAATAGTCCTTGGTGTATCCAATTTTAATAAGAGTCATAGGCCAAAGGACAGTTTTAGACTGAGTATCAGTCAACTGTCCCTAACAGACAGGATCTTTTGGCTGCAATGTCTTCTTTCACATGGTTCTAACATTCAAGGAGCGTCCATCTCCGGCATTTTGCTACCTCATCACAAGGAAGCACATCAATCAGAGGAAGTGAGTAGAAATTCCCATCTCAGAAATACAAAAAAAAACTCCAAATTAATAAACTGTCTCCTCTGTAAGAAAAAAGTATTTGGACTGAAAGCTTGCTTTCTTTTTCTTTGGGTGAACGATGTGCCATGCAAACATGGTCTTCTGGATACACACTCTCTTCTGTATGATATACCAAACTTCCCCTTCCATCATATCTTCATGCCTTCTTCACATCCCCATGTTCCTCCCATGAATCTTCTGCCACCATACACATGCCTAGATTGATTTCAGTGGCCAAACGGAAGCTTTCTCTGACCTCGTTAGCCTTTTCCACATTTACAGGTCCTGTTACCTCTTAAAGGTGCCCATACACCTTACGATTATTATATAATCGTATGTGATCGCGTTTTCGTCTGATAATCGCAAGGTGTATGGGCAGTGTACAACCGCAAATACTGTACAATCGTACGACTTTTGACTTTCAAGCCTGTTTGAAAACTTTGGTCAATCGTACAATTATTGCAAGGTTAGTGGCGTTTCCGTACGTCAAAAATCGTACGATCTACACTGCTCATGCGCAAACAAAAATACGTGCGGTTGATTACCGCAATTCGTCCAGGTGCTTTTCTTTAATTACGGCTAATTGAACCTTGCGATAATCGGGGCCGCCGTACGACAATCGTACGGCGGTTCGATCATCATGTGGAGCAGTTGCCCCTGACAACCAATCAACTTCTCTCTTCAGTTTGTTCAGTTAAGATTTGAAAAAGAGGGAAGCTGATTGGTTGCCATGCACAGATGCTCCAGATTTTGTCTGCACCAGTTTTGATAAATTTCCCTCATAGCCTCCTCAATTTTTATTGGCCAGTTGCTTGACAGTCATGTGCACACTAAAACACTGGGGTCTATTCACGAAGCAGCCGAAGGATCTATCCATAGCTTCGACCGATCCTACGGCTAGCTTCGGCCCCAGGACCCCTTCGGTTCTACTGAAGCTGCTGTACGGGCTATTCACAATAGAAGCCCGTAGAAGATAGGTGTGTCTTAAGATAGAAATAGATATCAAAAAAGTTTATTTGTGTGACAATGAATAGCTCAACATGTTCCATTTAACCAACATATTTTTCTGACACCTTCAATCTGTTGCAAAGATCAATATCCCAGGTTATTCTTTAGTAGACAGGCAGCTAACTCGAAAATGCACTTTTCTTTGATGGCTGTCTTAGGTTCTTGAGTAGCCTAAGGGAGGATCGTTGTTTTATAGGCAATTCACAAAGGGGGAATTGAAAGAAATTTGTTTTTTTGTCTCTTCCATAGTAATACTGTCTTTTCATATCTGCAGACTGTGAGCAAGCTGATAATACAAAAAGCAAATCTATCAATTATGTACAAATGTTCAGCTTCTAACAAAGCTGGAAGAGATGAGAGACTCGTCTACTTCTATGTGACAAGTAAGTGACAAAAGAAATTGTTTGAAAAACTCAAAGAACATACGATAGCACACAATGATCATACAAAGTTAATGTTATCCTTAAAGATGGCCTAAAATATGTAAAGTCTCCATTTAAATCCCAGCTTTAGTAGCTATTGTTACACACATATCTAGCTTTCATAAGAATGCCGGCTGTAAAATTTTCCTTTTGTTTACACTGTGCATGTCATTTAAAGGTGAACTGTACCATAAATACTATGACTGGCATTGCTGATCTCATTGTAAAACTATTATAAATGATATAATTAAAATATAGATTGTATATTTTAGATTGTAAGCCCTCACGGGCAGGGCCCTCCTTACCATCTTGTCTTGATTTGTATTGTGATTGTAATGTCTTCCTTATATTGTAAAGCACTGCGCAAACTGTTGGCGCTATATAAATCCTGTATAATAATAATTGCGATACGTTTTTCAACAGATGAAAAATGAATGGGTGTGAATAGGGCTAGTTCACACTGGATCCATTGCGTTACGTTGTGCTGAATAAAGTAGGGCATGTTCTACTTCTTTCTCAGCATAAGGTAACACAACGGAACAGAGTAGTGTGAACGAGCCCCATTCACACCCATTCACGAATCACCTTCTGTTAGCATCTGTTGAAAAATGTATCTCAACAAAGTGAATGGTAAATTAACGGATCCGGTGAGAGTGGGCTCTTTTCTCTGCTTATCAAAAATGAAATGAAACGTTACACCGGGCAACTGTCAGAATACCCAAATTTAGCTAGCAGCTGATTGGCTGCAAATTCCGCTGAGCCAAGAATTTTCCAACCTGCTCCTTTGATCAGCTGATTGAGGAATGCCGACCGGAAGGGTGCTGACAGCGGCACTGATTGTGTGAATTTCGGGTGGTTTATCAAGAACCGGCCGAAATCTGTACTGTGTGTACCCAACTTTACACTTCTGATAAACCAAACACTTGACCTCCTCTTAGCACTTCATTTAACCCTTTCACTGAAGCCTTAAACTTAACCCCCTAAACCCTGTCCACAATCTCTCACCATAACTTGACCCTTATGCTCCTTACCAATGTGAAGATGGCAGCTTTAAGTGCTGTGACCTCTACTTTAGTGACCTGTAGAAATCAGAGGTGTCTCCAGGGCCAGATTTCCAACAAGGCCAACCAAGGCCTGGCCTTGGGGCAGCAGGGAGTAGAGGGGCAGCAGGGGTGTGAAAAAATGTTTTGGCCAAATTACATTACTACCTGCATTAATCACTGTGTAACCATACAGTGCTGGACCCTACAGCATTTACATGGTCTGCTGTGTTTATAGTTATGCTCTTGTATATTTCCAATCAGGTGGTAGATTCACTTGAAGAATCATTAGCATTCTTACTAACATTGACAAATGTCTTTTTTCACAGCAATCCCAGATGGCTTCCGTATTGATCCCCAGCCTTCCCAGGAGCCAATAGAAGGACAGAATCTTAGTCTGAGCTGCCATGCAGATAATTACACCTATGAGAACCTGCAGTGGTATCGCCTCAACTTACTCACTCTACATGATGCAGAAGGAAACCCACTTGTCCTGGAGTGTAAGAACGTGCACCAGTATGCTGCCCGTATGAAAGGGGAGATGAGGCAACAGTCAGGATCCAATACTGCAGCCTTAGTACTCAATATCCCCAACATATCCCTGGAAGATGAAGGTGATTATGTCTGTGAGGTCCAGAACCGCAAAACTCGGGAGAAGCACTGTCAGAAAAAATATATCTCTGTGCTTGGTGAGTAACAAAGTTTGGATTGATGCCTACAGATATGAGCCTTGCCATCCTTGTTAACAGCTAAAACCAAGAAACATGTTTAGCAGGCTTAGGATGGAAATCTGATAATTATGATGTAACATGAATAACTGGTGCATGTGAGATTGTTGGTGGGCCGTTTCTGTGGGGGCCCTGCACGTGATATAAAATAAGAATGGTTTTACATCAGTAGTGGTACCATTGCATCTTTTTTAGTGCTCCATTTAGTATGGTAAAGTGTGGTTGCAAATAATTTGGGTGTAGTATTCATTATATGTTATGATTGATATAATTTACAAACCATACAATATTGTTAGAAGATGTATGCTGGTTCCCTATCTAATTATCAGGAAAAACTATAAATATATATAACCCATTAATTGCAAAATTTCAAGGAATACATCACGCAACACCCAACCGCACAATGGTTACTTTGCCCTTCTAGTAAGTTGTCCAGTTCCCAACCCTGGGAAGCTGGTGAGAAGGTCTTCTTTGATCAATGCAAAGTAATAAGATACACCTTTGTTTTAATTGGCCTGCAATACACAGTGTAAGATGGTCACAATGGGGGTAAAAGATACTAGACAAAAATATGGTCCATATCTTTAATGAAGCGCTGTATTTCCTTTGCAGCACAGGAAGCTCCACACATGCGGTTTGATCTGACTGGCAGAATGGTGAATGTCAGCGACTCCATGGTGATGCACTGTGAGGCTGATGGCACACCAAGTCCCAGCATCCTCTGGTACAAAGACAGCAAGTTGGTAGAAGAGGTCTCAGGTATGTACCATTACATTTGCATTTTCTGAATTTTTCATGCACTGGACTGTACTGAGTACTTTCAGATAAATTAGACTGTGAGGGCATGAAATAAGTGAAATAATCTTCTTTCTTCTTGAAACAACATTACTGGGATTATTCAGTATAGCAAGTAACAATGTAAAAAGGGCAGCAAGCCACAGCAAAAATCAGAGTTTATCTTGTATTTGTCTCCCCAAACCATTAAAGTGACCCAGTGTTTTGGCCATGCAGGTCAAAGCAGCAAGTTTACTTTATTGCCAGTCCCAACAGCACATACTCCCTTTTTTCCGCTACTATACTGATCCATTTAACCATTGGGAGCAAGGAAAGAAAGCCCTGTGTAAGCTCTAAGCCACTCTAGCCAGAGTTTCCACAGTGCTAAGGACTGTCTGCCTGCCCTCATGTGACAGCCCTGGGCCAATCACTAAGGAAGGAGTGTTAGTCACATGCTCCTCATACACTCAAGTACCGGGTATTTTCTTCAACACAGTGGTTAAATGGAGTGCCAGAAGAGTGAAAAGGTAAGGAAAGGTGACTAATGGGAAGGGCTACATCACAGTGACTCCCAGGTGACTAAAGGTGACTAATGTGAAGGGCTATATCACAGTGACTCCCAGAGCTTTTTTCATGTTTTAGAAATATGTTGGTGTTGGGGCAAATTATATTTTGTATTTATAATACATACAGTAGTGTGATTTTTATGTAACATTGCAGAGTGGTAAAGCGCAAATGCAAAGCTTAGCTTTTAGTTTCCTTTTTGATATTACAGTATATAGTTGAATGAATCTGTTTGAGTAAATTATAGATGTAGCACTGAAATAAGAGGCCATGAATGGATGTGAAGGAGCTCATGTAATTAACGCAATGTCATATAGTGTGTTTGTTGGGACGTGAGGCTTAAGTGGAAATTTTTATTTATTTATTTATTCATATGGGTATATCTTATCCAGCCGCCTTCCGTCATGCACTTCTATGGCAACACATTTTTTGTAATATTGATCTATTGTTCAGTGTTATTAGCAAGTAATTGGTTGCTATTGTAGTAATCTGGTGTAGCAAAGAGGGACCGCATCACCCATGCCCAGCTTATACTGGCTGCTGAAACTTACAGGAAATCCTGATGAACATGATGTCATAGGAATCATAGGAGTTCCCATATAATCACAAACTGAAATAAACATGGTTACACAAAGTTAGCGCTCTACCAATATCAGAAGTCCACAAACTAATCAATTCAGCTGATTGTCTTATGGTTGCATTTCAGTTGTCACTGACACCTTGCGGTACGGGTACTGATTGAACCTAATCAAGACCCGCTATGTCCATAGAAACCAGGCAGCACTTTAAATTGATGCTGATATCAAAAATCATTTAAATAGCAGCTGGAAGTGAAGTTGTTAAACCGAAGTCTGGATGCTATGAGTTATGTTTTCTACTTTATAACTGATTTTTGCATTACAATGAGAGCCAAATGGAAATCTCTGTACATGAGTGGTGGAATGGTAATGATTACTTGGGATTACTGCACACGAGTGTTCTTTGCACTAAGGCCTCATATGTTGGAGCACAATGGCAAGAATCTAATTGTGTATTACTTTTTATAGATTTATTAATGCGCTACATGTGAATTTTGTATCTACCCAGGTATAGTTTTGGGGGAGCATAACACAACACTGAGCATCCAGCGAGTCAGAGAAGAAGATGCTGGCTTGTATCTCTGCACAGCCTGTAACGGAAAGGGATGTGTGAATTCCTCAGCCAGCGTGTCTGTTGAAGGTGTTATTAAAAGTCCATTAACTTCAATTATCTCTATCTTATTCTGCATTTTAATTATCTGCCTGCAGTAATAGAATATGGATAGTTTACTCACTTTCTCTTTCTTTCACACACTCCTACTCTTTCCCTCTCTCTCGCACACCAGACAACCCTGGCCAATCATTCTCAGGAAAGGTAGAGTGAACATCTGGCTGCTATATTATCTCTCTCCTCCATTATTTTTACTTGCATTATAGGATATTAGAAACATATATGTTATTTTAATGATTTGTAAAAAGAATAGGCATTCATCAGTCACTAAGGGATCTATTTTTAGAAAATGTGCATGGCTTACTCGTCCATTGAAACTGCTTGTCCATTTGTTCCATACGAGTTAACCAGCTGCTGTGAGAATGGGGCAAACATTAATGTTCTTGTGTAACTTTTCTTCTGGTCAAATGTTTTTCAATGGGGAAAATACTGCCTTATGATCACTAGACAATAAGCACTTGGGCAGCAAAATGTTGTAGTGGTTAGCACTTCTGCCTTGCAGCAGTGAGGGTGCCTGGTTCAAGGCGCTTGCATGGGTTTCCTCCAGGTACTCCGATTTTTTCCCACACTCCAAATACATTAAGGTAGCTTAATTGGCTTCTGTCTAAATTAGTCCTGTTTGTACCCATGTGAGATAGGGACCTTAGATTGTAGGCTCCTTGAGGGCAGGGACTGAAATGAATGTGCAATAAGCGCTATGTAAATTGTAGGGGCTATATATATACCAATAATAAGATGGAGCTAAGGGTCATAGGAAATAAATACATGTTAGCAACAAGATACAATTGAAGAAAACGCTGGAGAAAAAGAGCATGTAAATGTAACCATTGTCCTGTACTATCAATGTTTACATTTACAGTATATGCTCTTTTTCTCCAGCGTTCATTTGAATTGCAACAGAGTAACTCCTTACTAATACGGTATGTATTTATTTGCCATGCTCCTCAGCTCCATCTAGTGGCCATAATGTGGCATTTTCCCAAATGAAGAACATTCGACCAGAAGAGAAATTACACTTGATTTTGCCCCATCTGCACAACAGCTGGTTGACTGGCAGATAACTAATTTACATGCAGATTTGCTGCATAAAGAAGCGGTGTGAATTTTTAATAAATAGTATCCTTAGCCTCTTTATATCCAGCTGCTATTTACTGTCTTATGTCTCTTTGTCACTCTCATGTTAATTCCGCAATAAACTATATTCATATATTTCTATCCATTTTTCTCAGATTTAGGCAGGTCAGTATTTATCGTGCTGCCTTTGTACATATCACTTATGCCAACCTTTCATTGAGGCTCTACTATTTCTTATGACCACTGGTACAATATGACTCTCATAAAAATGTAAACTGGAATCTGCTTTTGAAGTCACCAAGCTTTCTGCCTTATATACATAGATCCAAATAGATGGTACAATCCACCAATCAACAAATTGCAACAGAAATTTAGAACTGGCATTTCAGTTATAGGAACTTTTGCTACCCTTCTTAATGGTCCCTGCAACACTTTTGCTCTAGGTTACCTGCTTAACCTTTGACAATTGTCCAGAGGTACCCGTGCAAGCAAAATAAGTAAGCGTAAATTATAATTATTGCGCAGTGAAGCTTCAGCTTCTTATTCTATTACATAGGCACTGATCTATGTGCATTGCAGGTCCAACCCTTACTTAATCATATATTTATTCCTGGGGAGATATGTAAACTGCAGAACAGAAAAGTAAGGAAGCAGCCAGCAAGACAATAGAACTGTTTTAGTTGTCATGTTTTGGGTCTAGGAATGCTGAATCTTATTCTAAGAAAAAGAATAGACTATACGGTATTTCACATTTAATAAAATACAGTACTCACTCAGTTTGTGGGTTTAAGAGGATTTACTTCTGACAATAAACTGGATCGGTTACACACGTTGGCAATTCAAACTGAGAATATGACATTAGATCCCGATCCAGTGACTGAGGAAGCTTTAAATATAGGTCTCAACTTTTCCTGTTAAAGTGCATATTTACTCCACCATTCCACCTCAGCCTGCTGAGCCTTTCTGTTGGTGGTTTAATGTGATGGGCAGGCTCACTTGACCAACAGGTAGGCTTGTGAGGTAGGAAGGGGTAAAGGTAAGGCTGACTTTCACAGGAAACACTGAGAGATAAATAGACCTTCAACAGTACTGAGTCATCCTATGTTATTATTTATTTGTTATTAAATGTGCTCTTCACTTAAAGTAAACGTAAACCCAGTCAATACATCTCATATAAGTTTTAACATCTTCAGCCATGTTCTATATCCTTATATCTGCAGTTTTCATTCAATAATACTTGGTGATCATGCCATGAAGGTCTTTGTTTAGGCACTTCCTGTTATTATAATTATTATTATTATGGATTTATATAGCACCAACATTTTGCGCAGTACTTAACAAAGGGTAGACAGTATAGGTAAAATACAATGCAAGACAAGAGAGTTAGGAGGACCCACAATTAGTTTAGTTATTTGTATTGAGATTGCAGTCCATCAGGGGAGTGAGCTTGGAGCGGTGGCTACTTTACAACGCACACAGGGTCCATGGGGAACAAATGTAGCCACCCTACAGAGGGAAGGACAGTGTCAGCTGCAATTCAGAGATGATTTGAGGATCTACAGCTGAGTGATACATAAAAAGGCTATATTCTCTCAGGAGTTAAATCTTAAAAATGCATTTAGGTACCTTAACTAATGAGTTTAGTGTCACTTTAAGAATAAATAACTTTACAGTACAAGCATCTAGAGAGGTCAGGGGTGGGGCTTGTTTTAAACCTTTTTGCTGCTCATTAAGCATATATAATTACTTACATGTGCATAGTCTTGGCACAGGTACACTTTAAATTACCTCTGTTTTTGCATTTGTTTTTATAGTCATTTCAGTTTGATTGGCCAGGTTTGTGACAGATTTACTTTACACCCTAGTTAGGCACAAAACAGTGTTGTTGGGTAGGTCATAACTTTTGTCTTCACTCTCTTGTTTCAGGATCTGATGACAGAACTAATGTTGAGATAGTGATTCTGATTGGCACTGGAGTCATTGCTGTCTTCTTCTGGATCCTGCTTATCCTTATATTCTGCAACATCAAGAGGGTATGTGGTTGATACTGGGGCATTAGTTTTAAAGCTAGTATAACATTTACTTTTTTCTTAAACTGGAAACTGAATGAATTGCTGTATAATCTTTTTAATTATGATATGACTTCCAGATTTACTATCCTTTAAGGTTTTTTTTTCTTATTAGAAATAATCCTTCTAAATGATAAAAAATGCATACTGGCATACTTTGATAAAAATGAATCATTTAAGCTGCACAAAAGCTACAAGGATTATATCTGAACATTCTTTAGAAGCTTTATAAACTGAGGCTGACTTGCATTAGCACAATCAGAAAACAGATTTCGGGGACAGTCCTTGTTTTAACAGAGTTATCCCTGATAGCAAAACCTCTGGAATTGAAAAGGTATTTCTGACATCTGCAGGGAACAGATACACTTTTTATGTTTAAACATTGTCATGTCCATCAATATAAATGTTTGCCAAATGTGCTTGTATAACTCTTATATAACAGCACAGGAAACCACATCAAATCCTAATTTTTTTAGAACGTAGTTAATTTAAATGCATCATTTTTTTAACGTTATGCAAATGTAACATTTGAGAAACAAATGTTATTAGTTATTTCTAGACATGTGCAATTCGTTTCGTTCCGAATCGAAATTCAGACAAATTTTCGAAAATTCGGACATTCGGATGTATCCGAATTACAGATATAACGAATGCAAACGAATCCGAATTTCCGTTTCCGAAATTCGTTAACGGTTGTACGTTCGAACGTTCGTTTCGTTCATTCGTTGGAGCAAAGTGACATTAGAGAAGGAGAAAAAAAAATTGCCCCTCAAATGTCACTTTGCTGTAAACGAACAAAACGAATAAGAAACGAAAACTAAACGAACTTTCTAACGAACTACCGCTAACAAATTTCGTCCGAATCCGAATTGACTTTCACACACGAATCCTGAAAAATTAAATAACACAAAATCGGAATCAGAACGAAAAGACACTAAAACTAATTTTTTGGCAGTGCATATGTCTAGTTATTTCCTCATGATGCTAAATTAAATGAATAGTCAGCATTGTTCTTATATTGAAAAAGGCAAAGCATATAGTTTATGCCTCAAATTAGTCAGTATGGTGTGCAATGACACTCAAAAATAATTTACTGGCCCTCACTCTGTGCTATAACTATTCCTTGCTTCTTTTAACCTGTCATGAACAGTGTTAGTTTTGCCTTTTTGAAGGTAAAATTATTATTTATTATTTGTTCTTTGTTATTGCTGTGTTTACTTTAAAGTGAACCAGTGCCCAGGCTATGGGCATTGATATATTCACATATTCTTAACAAGCAGCAAATTAGCTGCAAAATGCCCTCACTGACCTCTGTAGCTGCAGGCATTGTGAAGTAATTAGTCCACAAAGTTCACAGCGGATGCACTGATGTTCTTCAAGTCCTTCTTTCAGCAGCTCAGCTCATCTTTTCCTCCTCTAATTGGAGCAGCCACATGCATTCACAATAACCATAAATATGAAACATACAAAACGTACATGTATAGATAAATATAATGCTTGTACTTTGTTTTTATATTTTAGCCCAGCCACAGTGAGATAAAGACAGGATACCTGTCAATTATTATGGATCCTGGTGAGGTGCCTTTGGAGGAACAATGTGAATATCTACCTTATGACTCCAGCAAGTGGGAATTTCCTCGGGATAGGCTGAGACTCGGTGAGACATATTATCTTACTCTCCTCTTCTCCTGAATACACACCCAGCCCAATTTAACTAACTCGGCTATATATGAGTATCCATTAAAGCTTATCTAAACCCAAAAACAAACATTACATACATTGCAGCTTACCAACCCTTACAGGTGAAGTATTGGGAGAGTAAAATGTACTCTTCCCAATAGATTGAACTGGCATGTGACACTGCAGCTATCACACGCCAGATCACAAACCGCTGATCACTCAGCTCATGGCTTCTCCCTGCCCTGACTGTCAGTAACCACTACCCGCAGGAATTTCCTCTTCGCTCATTGGAGGGGGCAGGCACAGCTGGCTCTGGCTATAGACAATATTGTTGGGATCTTTCCCAGATGCAGCGCGGCTCTGTGCTGTCAGCATATAGTGGCCATTAGCATGCTAGATACTGGCTTTGGGTCACAGGAGTGAATTACTAAATGTATGCCTGTGACCCAAAAGTGAACTAAATCCAAAAACATTTTTGGCTATAGTTCTCTTTTAAATTTGGTGGCTGCAAGTCAGAGTACACAATTGTGAATTGAAGCGCCACACTCTGTTCATTAGGCCAGTTACATGTTTATTCAATGTAGGATTGAGGGGCAAGTATAGAAATATCCAACACATTTTGGGGGCACATGCAAATACCCACTTCATCAGCGCTAGGAGAGAAGAAAAGTGAATATCTATATCAATAGGCTACCACAATACTGATTCAGTATTGTGACACAGTGATGTCAATTATGTATCAAATCATGAGTAATCTGTAGATAGAATTATGTGCTGGTAGTGGAAATAAAAGTGCAAATAAAAGAGAAGGGGAAAAATGCCCTCTGTTTTTCTAAAAGATGAATTAATCATTTAAAACAATTGTAGAAAGCAAACATCATAATAAAGGTCAATTCATAGAATTTCATAAACCATAATAAAAGTGACATTGAAATAAAAATCATATTAGTGATTATATTGGTGATTATTAACTTTAGTTAAAATGGTAATAAAAATAATGTAGAAATATAATATATGGTATATGTAACATATATAATAGATAATACAAAGTAATTAAAATCAATACCAATGAAAAATTCAATCATTATAATAGTGTACTGTAAGAACTCTACCAGACCGGGGTCGAGACAACAAATAGTTCGGTGTTATTAACCTCAACCACATAAATTAATTCTCCCCCGAGGAAATATATCTCTTATTAAAAACTAAGCCGGTTTACGGCACTGACTACAGATAATCCTGGGAAGAGATCAATCACACTGCCCTCCACACATAGTGCACACATCCTAGTGCAATCAGCCAATGCCGGCTCATTTTCAGCTAACCTAGATCAGACAACCTCGAACATTGTATCTACAGGAACTTTAAGACTATAAATACATTTCTGATACATTGTATCCTGCAATGGTTCAGGACATTACAAAATTGCACAATCAGCAATCAATTGAAAGACTTCTGACTGACAGATCACCAGCGATATCTTGATCCAATATAACCATACAATTTATCCACTCTTGAAGCACTCTAAGATTTCCTCATCTTTTTCTGTTATTCTGGTGGTAATCAATTTTTGCAATTAGTGTGTGTGGGGTCCTAGAGTATGAAAGTGAGTGTGAGAGACAACCAGTGACAAACGTTTGTCGTTTTTTATTTTATGTACCAAGGAAGATACAGATTATGGTGTTGTTCCACATTTTTTATATATGCAATAAATGAAACTTTTTTACTTGGAAATCTGTCCTGGCCTTCCTTAGTAACTTCTTTCTCAGTGATTGCTTATCACTGAACCCCCCCCCCCTTTTCATACTGTAAGAACTCTTTTTTAACAGCTTTACCACAATATTCTGTGTTGTAATACAAGTATAATTCAATTAACAGTCACTGTGCATTGTTTTCCCAGCTGTACTACAGATTAAGGGTTAAGTGTTTTTATTTCTTCTTTCTAGGTAAAGTTCTAGGACATGGCGCTTTTGGAAAAGTGGTTGAAGCATCAGCTTTTGACATCAGCAAAAGTAACAGCTGCGAGACAGTAGCAGTCAAGATGCTGAAAGGTGTGTGTCATATGGGTCCTACTGATGGGCAGTCCTAGCTTCAAATCCATAATTTGTCTGTACAACAAAGCAATCATGCAGTCTATGACTACTAGAAACATCTTGTAGCACATTGCTAGTACTATAAGCCAAGGAGTGCACAAAGAGACCTAGCATTATTTACTGAAACATGGTCTGTCTATTACTGACAACAAAAGTGAGCTTAGTGATTATATGGCAGAAGGTTCGGGCACCAAAGTACTATGGTGGGAACATATGAGTAGAAGTCCAAGAGGTGTGACATCCGAGTGTTAAGGGAGGTTGGACTTGCCACAAGCTTGGTATAAGGTAGGGCTATATGGTTACACACTGTGAATGAGTAAAGAAAAGGTGTTTTATAGCTATTAGTTGGACGTGTTGTCTTATCTAATCAAAACTAACAGATAGAATGTGATGCTTGCTATACCTCCCTGTAATTTGCAGTAAAGGAAGAACAATAATAATACATATTATTATGCTTCATTTTCAAATAGTGCAAGGAGCTAAGTGCAGAATTACATAGCAGCAACTGGAATTAATTTTAATGAAACCAGTGTTCTTTGGATTTTTATTAGGTAAACCCAATAATGTAAAGCATTGATCTGTCCCGGGAGGAAAATTCATGGTGAATTGTTTCTCTTTTTATAGACAGATAAAAGACAAAACAGTCAAAAAGTTTCACCAAAGCGTCACCTTTTCAGGCCTAACTACAACATAATAGCTTTCAAAATGAGATTCCCTTTTCATTTCTTTTGGCTAATAATTAGCCATTTCTTTTAGCCTTCTCTATTTGCGTGTGTATTCTTGACTAAATTTTCTCCCTAATTTTTTAGAGGGAGCCACTGCCAGTGAGCACAAAGCTTTGATGTCAGAGTTGAAGATTCTCATCCACATTGGAAACCACCTCAATGTTGTGAATTTAATCGGAGCCTGCACAAAATCCAACGGTGAGTGTTTATAAAGTATACACATTTCCTTCACCCTATGACCAAAGTGACTGTTTATGATTTAGCAATTTGTCTGGATTTTAATACACTTAAAGATATACCTGGAAAATGTGCAACAGAAATTTAAAAAAATGACAGGGCTTATAGCCTCCTCCTACTCTAAAAACAAAATGTATTTTTGTCTGTGTTGCTGTTGAACAGTTCCCCTCACTTCCTTCTTTTAAAACATTGTCAGCAGGACAGGAATTGAGGATCAGTCTCTCTAATTGTGTATAGTAGTCATGGATAGTAGTAGAAACTTGACCAGAGTTCTAACCCTCCCACGCTATGCTCAAAACTAAAATTAAAGTTTCTGGCTTGAAATGCACCTTTATAAAGAAGAAACTTTTCTAAGCTCCATTCAGTTCAATACTGAGCAAGTGTTGCATTAGGAACCTTCTTAAAGTGGAAGTGGAACTTAAAAAAACATGCAAAATCTCTTGTGCCAAAAAACGACTGCTTTCACCTAGCAGTTTTTTATTGCTAGTGTACACTGTATGACATATGCGCCATGTAGTGTACTATTCCAGGTCCTTCCCAGCATCTGTAATATGAGGGGAATGAAGTGGGTGCCAAGGACGATGTAACTGTTGTGTGCATATGCAGGAGTTACATCATCAGAGGCAGCCCAATGAACAAAAAGAGAATGAAGGAGGACCCGGAAGAATCATAAGAGGGGATGGCTGTGGCATTGGACGGACTGCCTAGAACGATCAGCACTGGAAGAGCATAATTACACATTCTGGCAAAAGTCCAACTTAACATTTCTTTACTTCCACTTTAAGCCAATTACCAACAAACGTAAATAACTTATAGATGCCAGGCATATTTAAACACATTAGCTGTTATGAGCTTTTAGCAAGGCCTGGATATCTGTTATTTTCACTTACCTAATGCAATTCCTTGCATTTCTTTCTTAAAAAATGAATATGTCTGTGTTTTATATCTTTGGCATGGGCATTCAGCTTAATGAGCTATCAGTATCAGTACTGCATGTTCTACAAGTCGTTCACCTCAGATAACTTTTTTTGCTGCTGTATCATAGGTATATTTGTTAACTAGTTTGTTTTGCATATTTAAAAGGCTATTTGAGCATTTTACAAGGTTTGCCAAGTCATGTTCTATCATTATGTTACTTGAGTGTCACCTGTGACCTTGGAGTAGATATCTTGCTGCACTCCTTACCCGAACAGGGCCTAACCTGCATAGGCAGGTGGGTGCTTGTAGTGACCACGGATGGCACCGTGAACAACACAAAATTAGCAAAGATATCACCAGCACACCAAAAAGATTTCAGCAAAAGTCCATTTAATGACAAATTGCCATTCAATTACAATAATTAAATGGCAATTTGTCATTTAATGGACTTTTGCTGAAATCTTTTTAGTGTGCTAGTGACATCTTTGCTAATTCACCTGTGACCTTGTCACTGTATACAGATGGTCTGATTGAATCGACATGACTACCTGCTGACTCCATCACTAGAAATGCAGCAGTCTAATATTGCTGTGGATCCTGTAGATGCCAGTAGATGCCACTTTTCCCTATCAGTTATACAGTAGGGAAATTGCACTCTGCCAAATGGCTGCCAAAGCCTCACATAAACACCTTTGAGTTCATGGTTTAAGTAAGAATATTCCCTCACATGCCAAGGCAATCTTCATTAGAGGAAACATATTCTTCCAGTAAGAGAGTGCACAAAGCAGTGTCAGCTGCCAAACAACAAAATGCAGTTTATGCTTGGAGGACAAGAAGTGTCTATTTCAGTGGGGTCATTCAGGTCCTACATCTAAATACTTAGTGTAAATGCACTTTTGGTGCACACCAAGATCCTACCAATAGAGTCTTTGTGAGATATGAAGGTCTGTGTTGATAGGCTCTGGGCTTGTATTGATGGCATTGGTTTGACATTAGTTTGAAAAGCTTCAGAGATTATTCAGAATTCATTGACAGGTGCATATGACTTGCAGTTGATCCCCTTCTAACACTGCATTTAACCTGCTTCAAGCAGATTTTCTATTCCCATAATCATATTTGAAGCAAACAAAAGGCTGTTGCCACAGACAATAACACTGATTATGCTTACAGGAGAGGGAGCACAGGAATTACATATGTAAGACCTTCCATTTGGTGTGGTGTGCTGCATAAAAGACAATGGTGCAGGTCTGATTTTTCTCACCTCCATGTGACTTGCTTCAAGCAGGTTTGGGAATGCAAAACCTGCTTGAAGCAAACAAAAGCCCATCAACACAGTCCCAAACTGTCTTGTGGTTTAATTGTTCAGCATGCATAAAACACTTAGGTCCCCTTTCAGACAAGTGGTTCATTAGGCCCAATGTTAGTCTATAGGCAGCTGCATCTACAGACGGACATCATACGATAGAGGGAAAAACTAGATGGACACGGATGTTACAATTATTTATTATTATTACAGGTATTTATATAGCACCGACAATTTACACACCACTTTACACAGTGCACATTCACATCAGTCCCTGCCCTCCAGGAGCTAACAATCTAGTGAGCCAATTAATCTTCCAGCATGTCTTTGGAGTGTGGGAGAAAATCGGAGTACCAAGAGGAAACCTACACAAGCACAAGGAGAACATGCAAGCTCCTTGCAGATAGTGTGCAGACTGGGATTTGAACCATGGAACCCCAGTGCTGCAAGCCAAAAGCGTTAACCACTGTGTACAATGGCAAAATCTTTTCTGAACTGCTCTCATCAGCAGGGAATACATAAACGCATCCCTTGCTGAATCCATGAACGCATCCCTTACTGACAGTGTGAAAGGGGCCTTAAAGGAGAACTATGAGGTGAGTGCTTTTCACTCACCTCATAGTTCTAGCCGACCTGTGACAATGAGACTGTCACAGGTCGGCTCAGTAGATCGGGAGGTGAGCGAACACATACCAGGTTCGCTCACCTCTCGATCCTGTCACGGCTCTCTGCCGTGACAGGGGGAGGGGCTGGATTCCCCTCTCCCCGCTCCGATCTGCCAGCGCTGACTGGCGGAACGGACGGGGGAGGGGGCGGTTACAGCTGGCTCTGCCTCTAGATAGGCAGAGCCAGCTGTCACTCACGCAGCTGGGCGGATCCCGTCATCTACGTCGGGATCCGCTCCGGCTGCGGCGTCTCAGTATACCGCGAGCTGTAGCTCGCGGTATACTGAGCTTAGGGTAACGGGAGGACGCTAGTTTGTGTCCTCCCGTTACCCTAAGGAGAACTATGGGTAAAAACACTGACCCCATAGTTCTCCTTTAAGTATGTCATGGGTGGATTGACCCTTTAAATGCTAGAAACAGAGGTATTCCTTCACAGTAGGGCATCCAAACATAAACAAGTGGAGGTCAAGGTCATAATTCTGGATTTTTGGATCTTTACTTAAATTCTCCACTATGCATATCGCTAGACTGATTTCCACATTCCTTTATCCTCAATTACAAACTTTGAAATAGCTGCTTGACCTTAGCTCAGAATGTGGCACCCATTGACTTAAAATGACAGATTGACATATCTGTGTGCCGGCTCCAATTTGCAGTCAGATTTATTACGTGTTCACAGAAGCTGCATTCTGGGGATTCTTCAGATAACACAGATAAAATGCATCATGGTCTGGCACAAGTCAAATAGGTTTGATTTGCGAGGCTGTGAAGTGAAATATGATTTGTTTTACATCTCACTATCAATGTTTTTATGAAGTTAATTGTGTTAAATTGCACAGATGTTACATTGTTTATTTTGAGTGTCTTAAGTCTGCACATAAAAGTACACCATTACGTGAACTATGACGTTTCAATGATTTAATAGACACATGCAGAAAAATAGTTAAACTTAAGAGAGAAGGACATGGTTGGAACCTTAGAACTCCTGGAAGATGTAAAAGACACAAAACAATGCAACCCTGTATTCATTACTAAAAGTATTTTTAAATTAAACAGCATAAGAATATGTAAGTACATGAATTTGACTTGCTATCAGCATCTTACAGTTTCTGTGCAGCAGAGTTTAGACAAAAGGTGTCAATTAGTTGTGCTGTAAACATGCTCAAAGCAGAAGAGAGCATAGTGAAAGAATGATGAGCACATCAAGGTGCTGCTTCTCCTTCACTGTCCAATCACAGACTCGGGGAGGCACAACACCTCTAAGTGTTATTGAACTGCAGTGGAGAAAAATCAGGTCTCTTGTCCTCAGAGATAGGACTCTGTTGTGTGTTAGAGCTTTGTAAATCTCAATACTGGATGGACAGAAATAAAAGTCCTTTTGTAAAACAGCTCTGATATATGTATTTCATCTGTATATTTGGCTGTTTGCCTGGAGTTTAGCTTTAAAGCCCAAGTTTACCCAGATTTTTTTTTTAGTTTGATTGAGAGTTGTCAGATTTTTTTATTGCAGTCTGCATCCCATCCTTGTTAGGAGAGCAACATGCACGCCTTGTCCCAATAACAGGGTGTCACAAGGGTAGATAGTCATCATGAGATATTGTAATGATGATAATAATAATTATTTATTTAGAAGAGTGGGAAAGTTTTAAAAAATCTCTTTGATTTGTGATGCTCTGTGTATTGCTGTGCTGGTGACACCCATACACATGAGTGTTTAGTCCTGGTGTCACATCATTGTTAGGCCTCATTCAGACAGTGCAGTGTGAATGTCCGTAGATGAGCCGATCACGGGAGGGACAGGTGCTGCGTGTAATTGCACACAGCAGCCTGTTCTTCCCTATGGCAGGACACAGCTGTACGTTGTCATGCGCAAACCGAAACTTGCACATCCGTGCGTGTCCGATTCTTCGCACTTGGACACACACTGTTTTGACTCTCAAATGAACAATAAAGTTTTCACTGTATTTGGGCTTGAATGTGTGAGATCGGCTCTCTACATTCTTTGAAAGATTGATGCTGAGAGCAAGGCAGTAAGGTAACAGAATTTGTAAGTAGCATATACCACTTAATTTTTT